CCACCAAGCCTAATACGAATTCGATTCGATATTGGATTAGGATTTCTTAAAAAAGATTTATTTATCGCCCTTCCGAAAGTTTGCAAGATTGAAATTATAATATCTTTTCTGTTCATCTTTATTGAAATTTCCAAATTGACTTGCACTTTTTATCTGTGATCTTTATTATTAGTTATTGTTGAGATAGTTCAATGTTTCAATTTACAAATGTAGATAGTGACCTTCAAAATATCTTAAGAGTTGGTTTTTACAATTACTCAGTAGTTTTTAGCTGTGAACCTAATTTATTTTCAGTTTGATATTGTAAAATGTAAATTTTAATATTAAGTTATAAGTAAACTCATAATTGTATACTATATTTAATATTTGGTGGTATTTACCTAACTGCAGCGAGTTTCATTCTTTGATAACAATAGCGTAGGCACTATTGTTCTTGTTCCGTTGATTCGACTAGCAGTTTACTTAACGGTTACAACACTATTGATTGTTTCTTGTTGTATTTCTACCATTTTACTTATTTGATCGATTTATGTGACGTTTCCTAGCGATAAATCGACGACACCTATTCTCACTATAAGTAATAAATGTAAAATACAGGAACTAATTATTAACTACAAATTATTTATTTAACACTAGATGCTACGGTTTACTTCGTATCATCTCTGACCGACCCAGATAAAATTAAAATCAGTTAAATCAACCCAGCCGTTCTCAAGTTTTATTGAGACAAACGAATAGCAATGATGTTTATATACTTGAAGTCAGAGAAAAAGGGGGCTATGGATCTGCAGTGCAATTATGTTATTAAAACCTTGAATTCATAAACTTCGAACTTTTGAAGGTTTCAGTCGTGTACACTTTTATCAAAACTTAGGGGTTGAAAAGTCGTAAACACCAATTACTTAAATAAAAAGCTACTTTAAGATACAAAGAACCATATTTAATAAAAGGCTTTGTATATGTAGACCTTGAAATAATTAACAAAATTGCATTATTAATATAGTATATTCAATAAAGAAAATCACTTTTGAATGGTTTATTTAAAGCGAAATTATGTAAATTTTCAGTTTCTATCGATAACAATAATATTTACTGACAAAGAAAACAATTTATAAAAAAATTACATAGTGTAAAATAATAATGGGTTCGATAAAAAACCATAAAAATAAAATCTTAATATATTTAAAACGATTTTATGATTTATAAATTTCATATCAACTATAGTAAAAAGACATAAATTTAATGACTTTGTATGATGTTTTGTCTAAAAATGTTTCTTTTCCATGTCTAACACTCTTATAACATAAGCATATCTGAAGGAAATATATATTCACTAATAGACGAGAATTGGAGTGAAGTAATCATAATAATATTATTAATAGTTCTTACTTCATTTAAGTTCTTGACAACTTGGTAAAAATATTTGCTTAAGTTATGACATATTCTGAAAAGGTTACTTACTTCTCTTGGGTATGCATACGAAGATAAATGTTTACAAAATCAATCTTCCCGCTCCCAATTAATGCCAACAAATAAATGCCGTACCAGACCTTCAAAACGAACGTATCATTTACGACGTTCGTGTAGAAGACTTAATAAATATTATGCTAAAATATTTTCTTCTAATTTCATATATAAATACATCAAGAAAAAACTTTATTAAAAATAAGCAAAATTAAATAAAACTAATATTTTCTAGAAATCTACTAACTATTATAATATTTAGATACAATGATTATACAATAAAAAGAAATTATAATTGCCGTTACTTTCAAGGCTGTTACGTGATCTATCAATAAGAAATGATGTTACATTTGTAATATACTTTTTAAATGAAATCACGTCTTCACGCGTGACTACTTCCCTGTGAAGGACGTAAACGATATCTTTTCGTAAAAATCTTAGATAAAAATAATTTAATATTACATTAATAATATTTAACATTATGCAAAAGAGGTTCATATGACGATTTTCATTTTATTTGTTAGTTTGTTTTCCGCTGGGTCCCTAGGAATCCGTTTATTGAGATAAAAGTAGCATTCATGTTATTAAAAAAAAAATACAAATTTCATCAAAATCCGTTCGATAGTTTTTGTGTGAAAGAGTAAGAAATGTACATACATCCTCACAAACCTCGACATTTATAATATTAGTAGGATTGTTATAAAATACGTAAAATACATGCTCTGTAGTAGCGAAAAAGCAATAAGTACTTGAAAAATTTGTCAGTCCTGTTAGCTTAGTGGTTAGAGCAGTCGTCCAAATTGCGAAAGGTCATGGGTCAGAGTGCCAAGGACAAAGTAGATTTTTTAAGCATTTTTCATTAAACAGTTTTCAGTATAGCATTGTGAATGCAAAATTTTTAATACTTGTAGTTATTTTATTCTTGTAGTTATTTCTTTCTTATTATAACACTAGGATCACATTTATTACTAATTTTAAACTATTATCTCATAAAAAATTGTCTACACGTACAATTCAACATTTCCTTTTCTGTCATTTGTTAATTTGCTTTACGTAGCCAATATTGTTAATTGAGTACTGTCTTTAGCACTCGTTTAAGGTCGTTGGTTTGTGTGATATACTATCGTAATGTAAATCAATGTAAATTAAAACAGTTGTCGACAAGTAATTATAAATTATAGCCTATGTCACCCGCTTGTGAAGTAGATTCCCGTAATTGAAGATTTTCAAAACACGCCGAGCAGTTTTGGAAACTATTTAATGCAAACAAACAATCAAATTTTTCCTTTTTTATATATTAGTATATATCACAGGAAAGGAGCAATGGAAATAATTCCATTGCACAAACCGAACCTAATTTCAAAATAACCAAGAAAATATAAGCTCAATGTTATAGGATGTAGGATCATGTTCCTCTTTGCTTCATTACTTTTAACTACGGAATATTATCAAAACAAACATTAATTAATTTATTTGAGCATGTGATCGTATCATAGAAGAAACAAATAATACGATTACAATAAATATAAATTCTTGTGACCCCATTGTCAGTTTTGTTGTATTATTTCGTCTATCAAAATTAAACGAGATTTATTTATTTGCATCGAGTAGTATTTGAAATAAGTTGACTGATTTTAAAGTTTCTTTATAGCGTGTCAATTTTAAAGCTACACCATAAGTTGATTAGGCTATATAACATTAGGCTATAATTAACGCGGGCAAAGTTGTGGGGAAATAGCTAGAGTTTCATAAATTTGAAAGCATACCATCATATAATATTATGTTTTCACGTAAATGCTGTAAATAAACACAAATTTAAATTAGTCTCTCATCAGAAGAATCACTTAAAAATCTCACCATTCGTTGGTAAGAATTATATTACTATTTGTTCGATATTTGATATATCTGCAGTTCTATGCAATAAAATATTAGAAATTAATTTTATAAACAAAATTAACTGTTGACTGACGACGCAAACAGCAATAGATTATTTGATTATAAATTAAAATTTAATTAGTAGAAGTTCAGATGTATAGGCCTATTTACAGTAACGCATTTTATACTTAACGATTCGTTAAGTATAAAATGCGTTCGGTGATGGAGAGCTGTCGGCTGTCAGACATTTCAAACGATTCAATGATACTCAGCTCATTGAAATCAAAAATGATGATATACAAAATATGGAAACATTATGTAGATTATTTATTTGTAATCACCGAATAAGTCCCGTGTGCCCGGCAGCATGGGCGTTTTTAAGCATTTATTTTTAATATAAATAGCAATATTTGATTTGCATTATGAATGCATAATTAATCAGAAGAGATGAGTTCAGTTCGGATTGCTAAGAAACTTTCGAAAGGCCGGTCATAGGATGGGTGAACAAAAATTTATGATCTCGAGCCTCCGTGCTAAGCACGTTAGCGTTATGGAAGGCCCGAGCCCCATCGGTGGGGATATTAATAGGCTGGTGATGATGACGATAATCGTAATTGTATATATTGGTAATATTAGTCAATTCAATTAAGTGTTTTTTTTTTCCATTAATGAAATTTCTGTTTTAGTAATATATAATCAATATTGTATTTTGTTTTATCTTAATTGTTATTTAAGAGTTATGTGATTATGATTTGGAATTATTTAATTGTTGTTATGATGAATGGAAATAATACTTAAGGAACGACAGAAGACGTCAGTCAAATGTTGTTATTATTTCCGTATGTCAAGAGGACAACTTATTGATGAACATATATAAAACAACAATCATTTAAATCAAAAACCTCCTTAATTAAGTTGACTAAGAAATTAATCATCTATTAAAGTCAATCTTCATTTTAGCAATAAAATCGCAATTATTCAATAAAATTATGAATAAGAAAATCCTTTTCTGTTTATAAACGTGTTTCTTATCATTGTTATGAATAAAAAAATGGTAAGTATCTTAGATAAAGTTATGAACACGAAAACCTTTCGTTGACATCTGAAGCGAATATCACTTTATATATATATATTTTTTAATTTAATTTGTACTCTATGGTCGTTTTTAGTTAGAATAAAAGTAATTTGAATGGAAAAACCAGAGTTGATTTACAATAGATTATTTTCATGATTTTTGAAACTCTCTAAATAGATTAATTTTGAGGATAATTGATAATAAATTATATATACAAACTTTATGCTACATAAAAATTACATAAGAAATTTGTTACGCTTTTTTATGATATTTATTATGGAAATATTTTATTCGTTTTGCGTTTTGAAAAGTAACTTTACGCTATATATACATAAAGTACTAATTCAATATTGAAAAAAAAAGAAAATGTAGATTCGATCGTAAAATCACAATAAAATCTACCGGTCCGTTCACATATGGTGAATTTCATTTTATGGCACGATAATATTACAATGGGGACCTATTCTGCACCTCGATCTCATAAATATTGTTTAAGTAATAAATATTTTTGTCGGTAAAACTAACAAATAGCTACTAAATAATTAAAAAATAAGATAAAGTAGCTGTAACAAGGCGGTTTGCTTACCTAAAACTGGTCCAACGATGAACATGTACGCAAACAAGATTAAAATTATTTGCATACGCTTTGTCCCTTGACGTGATTTGAAGCCGACCTTTAATGTTGCCACCAAATCACTCAAAGAGAACAACATAAGTACACTTTGTTTGTCACCATCGTCAACAGTCTTTTTCGTTTTCTCTTTCAGTCTCACAATTATGTACACGAAACCGGTAAGGTAAAACGCACTTGCTACTGAAAATACACCGTAGTAACCGAGCCTTTTCGTCATATATCCACTTAGGGCTAGACCTACGGGCCTAGCGAGAGTCAGCACAGCTGTCACGATGCCTAAGCGAAAAGTCCGTTCAGATTCACTAGTTATATCCGTGATATAACTGTAAATTGCCATTGTCATGGCAACCCTTCCACCGGCTAACGCTGGAGGTAGACCTTCTATTAAGGCAGTTTCATTCATGCCGATTTGCAGGAAGAATACTGTGCTCAGAATGATCCCAGCGATGGAGATTAATTTTCCAAGTATAGGCAGGACCATGAACGCTTTTCTGTTACCGGTGCGGTCGCTCCAGGCGCCGACGAATAACGCTAGTATACCAGGTAGCGCTGTTTGTAAGGGGTAACTCCAAGCTGTCATTCCTGTCACCTGGATCTGTACATTCTTTTCTTGTTCCGTGTAGTTGTGTGTGCGGCCTTGCATTATATGTCGACAGGTCCGCTCGTCGTACTGCAGGTTCACTAGACATGATTTCTCTAAGCATAAATTTTGCACAGCCAACCCGGCGAGAACGCTCGGCAGGATATAACAAATGACGAAAGGTTCAACGGTAATTTTCGATCTGAACGCCCATGATGTCTTTATGAATTCCTTTACACGCTTACTGATTTTCGTTTCTGTTTTTACGAGTTCTGTACCATAGGACTTGTTACACTTGCACGGATCTACGTTCACAACTTTTTCTCCGGGTACTTCGACCCGTAACGTCATTTTGACAACTTTTCACCGAAATGTTCATTTGTTTTTCAGCATACCGGCGACATTGTGTTTTTAAAATTAAAAGCAGCAACTAATGTAGTAGAATGAAACGCTTTGATTTTTATTATGTGCACTCGGATTCGAAAATTTTTTTTCTGTCGTATTGATTTGGATGCGAGCTATCGGTAGCGCGTTCGACGTTAGATTGCGCGGCGCGACGGCTGCCTGCGACTCTGGCGCAAGCACTGCGTATCAGGTGGCTGCTATGCTACTTTAATTTGTACTTTATCATTGTTATCACGTGGCTACTGGGCACCCGACTACTCTATTTAAATTGGAACATGATCATTATTAGTTTATCATCTAAATTCTTGAAAACCGTTCAAGTTCAAATCACCAAACCATTTCTCGGGATATTGCCAGCCTCTTTTGATAAGGGTTTTTTTTTATATTTTTTTAATTGAGTTTATGACTTTGCTATCTGTCTCTCTATGCATTTTGTGTATTTATACATATTCGTAAGTATGCATTTTTCTGGCTCCAATTTGATTTAATACCACTGACCTCGCTCCTGCTGTCGATAAAAGCGGTTTTTATTTAGTTTTATATTTTACCAGTCATAATGAGGGAAATAAAATTTATTATCTCATATTCTTCTGTGCTTCAAAAGACACATTAAAACATTCGTCCCGGCTGCATCACACTGGACTGCGTGGTAGGTTTTGGCCCTTTCTTCCTATTTCTCTCGAATTTACCCGCGTAAATTATAGCTTTGGCCGGGCTTTATAATAGTTTTTTTAAATTTGGTCTTAATAATAAAGGTTTTAATAAATTCTTTATTACCCCCAAAGAAAAGCTGATTTATATTCGCGGTGATAATTACCCTTAGGTTAGGATCCATTAATCTAGTATTTTTATACAGTCCAAGGTTCTAACTCCAAAAAGGGTACAGTAAACCTTTTAGGGGAGAGCTTCAAAGATACCACCGGATAAAGCCATGGAGTAGAGCCCCACTTAACCCTTAACGGGATATGGTAAATATAATTTTCCCTTAGCAAAAATGGTTGTCGATAAGTGCCTATTTTGCAGTAAGCTGTAATATATGGAAACAAACAAAACAACTAGCTACAGTAGGAAGCCTAGCCAATCAGATGAATTGCTATTAACTTCCAGCAGATGCTTATGGAATATTTAGATAAATAATTCCTAATCTAATAACGCTTTTATAATAGAAGAAATTCTTCAACGAAGAAGCACTGATGGCTGATTATAATAAAGACTATTCGACGTCCTTAGGCGAATTGTTTGCACTGAGGTCCCGACTTCGATTTTCAATTGGGTTAATGTAGAGAATGAACTTTTTTATGTTGTCTCTGGTCGGGGCATTATGGTACAACCGTTATCTCATATACCTTCTTAGAATCTAAGCAAAGAATGTGATGTTATCTAATATTTAAAATAACGGGTATCGACTAACATTTCAGTTAGTAAGAATGTATTGGACTTGTATTATGTTAACCTGAAATGAATAAAATACCACAACATCTAGACAACATAGGGAATAATAATAATAATATAATCTTTATTGCACACATACAAACGAGAAAACAACGCGGAATTACACGGTATGACAATACAGATAACACAAAAGGCGGCCTTATTGCTAAACAGCAATCTCTTCCAGGCAATCTATGGAGGAGAATAATAAATAATCATTTTTATTCACCAACCCGACACAAAATCGAATACTGCACTTCAAAGATAGCGATATATTAAAACCGACGTACGAACCACTCGCCCGCGGAGGCGATAAAAATCTATAAGAGTGAAATTCCGTATTCTTTTTACATTTGTCTATTTATTTTTTTTACCTTTTTGCATTCAAGTATACCCAAGTGGACTGAAATTAGAAAAAATATTTTTGCAAAGGAAACCCTAGGGACTATTTACATTTCCGAAGTCTATGCACACAAAGATATGGACAGTGATTTAGCCTTTATCACCAAATATCACATATTATAATATATAAGTATAAAAAAAATAATAAACGTATTTTCTATACGTAAATATTGTTCTAAGTTTATCTGGACACTGAAAAACTGTATCCAAGGAAAAAAGTGTCTAATAACGTGCCTGCATTACTATTCTGAAAAAGTCTTAACGCTGTCACACTTTAGAGTTTCAATCGAATAAAATCTATTTCAAAAGTTTTTTTATTTTTATTTATCCATCTGCTATCAGCCCAGCAGTTTTAATCAGTTTTTTTTTGTCATTTTTTGTTGTCAGTTTGGATTATTCACACCCCACTTTGTCACTTTATGTGCTCAAGCTTAATCAGTTGGTTACAACGAGGTTATTTGTTTTCTTCGTAAAGGTAATAAGGGTTTTACTTCATTAAAGCTCTATAACCAGACAACGCTGATTGTTTGATTTGATTTTTAATGTTTCATTAATTTCAAAAGAACCTTTTAAATATGTTACGCTTCAGTTAGATAAATACAACGATACGATCTTAAAAAACAAAAAACTCCATAAAATTGGAATCAAAATAATTTATTTGTAAATGTCGCAAATGACTTTATTTAAAGTTAATCGCTTGTTATAGAAAATTTAAAAAAAATTGAATCTACATACTTCAAATTTAAAAAAGTGAGAAATAATACTTATCTTAAAAGCGATTAATTTTTTGAAGAAACTAAATGAGTCGGGCTGAGGTTTTCTGTAATTAATTAAATATTAACCGCTCCAATTCAATGTCTCTTAAAAACATTAACCGCTATAAAATAAGTATTATATTGCACTTTTTTAAATATGAAATCGATTCCATTTTTTTTAAGTTTTTATTTCCTGCATTTTAATCATATATCGAGTTTTGGGGTAACAAACGGCACGCATACTTAATGCAAATTTGAGACTTATATGGTTTTCCCATATATACCATAGATGGAACCACATGGCAAATACTAGCTATCAAATAAAAAATAATCATCAAAATCTGTCCACCCAGTAAAAAGTTATGAGGTAACAAACAGAAAAAAACAGTCGAAAGTCGGTTAAATACAATATTATTTAATGAAAAAAGCTTAAAATCCACTTTGTCCCTGGCACTTTGAGATGGGAATCGAACCGACTCGAACTATTGAAAATACTTTTCAGTATAGCATTGTAAAATTTAGTTAAAAATAATAATGAGAAAACTAACAAAAAACGAAGTGAAATCCCACCAAAAACATTTTCATGTTGTCAAGAGAACTCGCTCTGTCAAAGACTTTTCCGATTTATTAAAAGCTAAGCTTTTAACTGTACTAACTTTAACTTTACAAACTTAAACACCTTACTCAAAACATTAGTATATGTGGTACTAACTTTACTTTTACGCCAAAGTGGTGGGACCAACGAACATTTGCCGTAGTGCTTATAGCCTTCAGAGATATAGCACAAAGTTTTGACATACTTTTTTTTTATATGATAGTATAGTTCCGCCATCTTGACGTTCACAAAACATCAGCTGGGACAGTTTTTTGGTTTTTATAATTTCGCCTTTTTTGTAGAGACAAGAATTAATAATAAATTCATAAATGAGCACATTATGGAATTATGCCTTGACTTAGGTTTAGGGTCATGGGCCGTATCTTGGGCCCGTAGAGCCTTGATAATACATTTAATAACAATTTCTCACGTAGTTTGTATGCGTCCTAATTCTTCCATAAACTCGGTCAACTATTCGAACGCAATTGCGTAACGCCAATTTGGGAACCATTGGCAATGACCATATTAGATAAGTGTGATACATTACATATAACAAAAGCTCAATTTTTATACCAAGGTTTCTAATTAAATCACAAATTGCTGTTCAGTTAGCAGTAAACACGGTAAGACTCTAAAATACTTAAATAAAATTAATATTTTACATAAATTAACAAGTGTCAATAACCCTGTTTCATGGACTCAGAAATTATCGATCGATTTTCAAATTTCTTTCATCTACGGAAAGCTTTCTTTCAACTACCTTTCAAAGCCTTAATTGTCTGTACCTCTAACCTGTCAGAGAGTCGTACTCAATGTTACACTTGACGCTTGTTTAACTTGTTATATATTAGGTGTACATATAATACGAAAAATTATCGAGACTTATCAACAAATTTATATCAATCGCAAGAGACAAATTTAGACCATTATAAACCTTAAAAGCCATGTTAGAGCCCTTAAAAGTTGTGAAGCATCAATGTATAGTTCTGAATGGTAAAAACGTGAAAGAAGTATTGACAGATATATTTTGATGAATTCACTTCTTTCCGCCTACCCCACAACGGGTCTGGCTTAAAGATATATATATCTTTATAAATATATATACTTAGATAACCAGAAAGATCTAGTTGTACTAGTAGGTACTTACGTTTCTAATGCAAAATTTTTTTTCGTACTACATCTACACGATGAATTTAAAACTACTGTTGAAGTCATTTGTAAGAAAGAAAAGGTATGACGACTAATTTTTGTTTGGTAGATTATAAATTTATATATATATTTTTTGCGTAATCAATAAATTACAGCGATACATTGAGTAGAAATGTCCCATGACGTCACGCTTTTGTACATTTTCAAATATTTTTCAGCATAGTGAATATATGATTGATCAGATATAATAATTAGAAAAAATATTGTTAAAAAATCAGTAAAAATATATCTATCGGCTGTTTGGGTACATTGCCTGAATATTGGTGAAAATACACGCTGTAGTAGCGAAAAAATAACAATTGCTTGAAAAATTGGTCAGTCCTGTAGGTATGAGTTAGAGTTCTATCTCAGGGACAAAGTGGATTTTTAAGCAATTTTATATAGCAGTATAGCATCGTGAATGAAAAATTGATCAAATAAAATAATTCACAAAAGTTTTTAATTAAATAATATAAAAACCAAATTATTGATGCAATAATATAAAAAAAAATTAAAAGAATACAAACATTTTCTTTGATATAACCATTTTCTTTTTTATTTAAACTATTGCATCTCAGATTTATATAGAAAAATGAAGTTTTCCAAAATTTTTAGTCAGACTCAACTCAAAATAGAAGAGTATAACGTTACGTTTAGAAAAACGCCTAACTTCTAACATTAGCAATATGTCTCATACAAAATAATTCTCTGAGAAGTTTCTTTGATCATCACTCGCTGTCACTTATTCTGCAATAGAAAACATCATGCGACATGTCACATATTATGATTTTCAGCTTATTATAAACCTCATTTTTTATTTTATTAATAATGAGAAACCGTTTTCTATCTTCGGATTGAAAATTGTTTCCTGTATAATTCATTAATGCCCAAATCGCAAATTCCTACTCACGAAAAAGGTTACACTAAGTAGGTATTTAAGTTTATAACTAGACTCTCATGGCATTGAAGTTCTCCGTATGAATTTGTGAGAGCAATCAATCAGTAGCATGTCTGTTAACATAAAATGAACTGACAATGATGTGTATTACTCATTATCCAAGCTTTATTGCTACCAATTCCATAATTTAATTGTTATTTTGGATTACAATTAAGTGTGTCCGAAATGTCGGAACCTCTTAAAACTAAACTAAAATTTTGTCTATCTAATATAATGAGCACTTTAGTTTAGTCGTTTACACCTGTTAAACAATTTACAAACCAAAGTAAATCAATGTGACTCTATTTGACATTTTTTCTTCTGTTATTATTAATTTGCTTTAAGTGGTTAAAATACTTTAAGCAATTACCTACTTACATTTTATTCCTTGTTTTATAATAAGAATGTCTAAGGTTATTATGATTGCATTGTTTGTTACGTATAACCAAGTAAATATATACATCAATAGTTATAATATGAAATAAATACTTCACTTGCGATACCTTAGTTTTTTACTAAATTAAACACAGTTTGACAGAATCAGAATTATATTTAGTCTAGTTTGTGCAACATAATCACTAGCAATATCGAAATACGTGTAGGTACGTGATAAGTCAACCTATTGTTGTGTCCGCTGACATGTTCTTTGTTGCGACCGCACAATTTGATTGTGAACTACCTGCTATCACGGTAATATAATTTGGAAAACAATTTGAGGTTGCCTTTCAAATGGTAAGCTGTTTATAGTAGATAAATAATGTTTATTAGAAATTTCAAAATTAGTCTATGCTAATTTGATCACACTTTGCTTTGGATGTTCGTTATAGTCCTTATGTGGGTTAAGGCCATATTTTACCTCCGCTTACGTTCCAATACAAATAAACATCGAGAGAAAAGATTTCGTACATCTTTATTCAAATAAAAAACAAATGCAGTTAAAAATATTCATCTTTGCGACTTTTTTATATCGAGCCAAATATTGAGATTTAATTTTCTGTTTTTATCAAGCAATCGATCGTTAAATGAAACAACTTTTAAACAGTTTTTATTTCAATAGCCACGCGTATCATTCTAGGGATGATTTTTGTTCAGCCGCAAGTATTTTTGGATTGCCAAATCTTATGTAATGCTTGGTTCCTCTTGACGCATGTTCACACACTGCAGATTTATTTTCGCGCCTATGCTTAACGTCAGCTACATGTTCCCTTACGCGAGTTATGCTCCTCTTTGTCTGCTCCGTATACAAGAGCTCACAGTCGCATTCTAGTTTGTGTACACCTGCCACTTGGAAAGGGATGATATTACATTTGACAGGTCTTAAGAATTGGTTGATCTTCTTTTCAGTATTGCTAGAAGCTCACATCAAAATTGTTTCAATTTTGTCTATGACACCTTTCATGTAAAAATATTGTTTGTTTGCATTGAATATACACCAAAACTACTGGACCGATTTCAACAATTCTTTCACCTACAGAAGGCTACATCATATGCGGGTGACATAGACTTCATTTTTACGCGGGCGAAGTTACGGATAAAAAGCTAATTAGGTAAAATTTATATAAATCTTAATTACGTTTGCATTTGTGAATCTCCTAACAATCAATAGTTATCTTAGTATATTTTCAAGTATTAATAATCTCTTTGATTATTTTCAAGAACGACGTCGATTTCATATTTGTCATCGAAGAATAATTAAAAATGCGCCCTACTTTATTAATGTAAACCAAAAGGGATAGTAAAATGAATGAAAGTATCTATAAGTTTTTGGGTATACCTTCGTGCGTTTACGTACGCGGTGCGTTTATCGCTCTATTTTTTACAGTAAAAATAGAGCGATAAACGCACCGCGAAACACAGCGCAGAACACAGCGCTGTCACAGCATTGGCGGTTAAATCTATATACTTCAAGAGGTTATATAAGTTTTAAACCCCTAATCAGCAACGGCTCAATCAAATACTCCCATAAAAAGTCACAACGAAATAATAGCCATTCAGAAAATGACAAAAGAAATTCTTTAGTTGAGAGTTAGTTAGTTGTTAGTCTAAAGAAATTCTTCAAACATTTTCTGAAGCATACTAATAACATTAATATTAAATAATTTTATCATAGCATTAGCCAGAAATAGAATTATTATTATCTCCATTAGTTGCGATGAAAGACCTTGACATTTATACAATAGGTAGCTGAGGGTTTATTGTTCAAACGGGTTAGTTCAGTCCTTCATCGAATTATAAAAGAGAGATTTTTGTGTATTAATATGTTACATTAAGTTTAATTCAAAAAAGGCCCAATATTAAATTAACAGAACAGAATTTTTATTTTTAAATCTATTCCGAAGAAAAAAAATTCACCATGTTGCTAATCAATATAATCACACTACGGAACAGAAGTTCGCCTATGAACTTTGATTAATATTAGATTTTATTCAAGGATGTGATTCAAATCATCTTCACTGCGAGATAAATATAATTAGGAGAAACAAGTTTTCGAAACGGTCGACTTGTTTATTCAACCACAGCAGTCTTATAGCGTGCATATCAACAAATACACATCCTTTATGTTGTTCAGTGAAAATAATAAACATGGATAAAATGAAGGACAAAATGGAACTTCAAACGGATATTAGTGATGTTAAAGTGAACAGTGAAGTTGAAGATAAGAAAGAAAAAGAAAAAGCAAAGGAACCATTTTCATTGTCCAAATTTATAGAAAAGTGCTTTACATTCTTTACAGTGGAACCGTATTTACTGTGTTACATATTACCAAGTATAATATGTTCGGTAGGAGTGCAAAAGTTGAATATGGAGAAAGCTTGTCGCGTTGATTTAAATTATACAATAGATGTATGTACCAAAGTGGTGAATGGTGATACCAGTGATAACATCACCGAAGAAGCCTTGATCGGTGCTTCGACACTTGTAGCTGATATGACAGCTTGGAAAGATCCACTTCAAACAGGAATACCAGCAATATTCATATTGTTCGTCGGTGCTTGGAGTGATAGAACTGGAAACAGAAAAGCATTGTTACTTATACCTATAATAGGAGAAGTTATGTCATTAGTTGGACTAATGATAGGAACTTATTATTTCGATGAATTGCCATTATGGGTTATGGGCTTATTCCAAGCGATGTCTGCTATCTTCACGGGTGGACTACCTGTTGCAATAATGGGATCTTACAGTTTTATTGCCGATGTAACTACTGTCGAATCCCGTACGTTTAGGATTGGAGTTGTTGCTACAATAGTAACTCTCGGCATTCCTTTAGGTACTGCTATCAGTGGTATATTAACCGAAGCAGTTGGCTACTATGGCATATTCGGCATAGCGATTGCTATGTACGTCATTGGATTTATTCATACGTTGTTCAGAATTCATGATGTAAGAAGAACTAAAATTGAGGGAACATTTTGTTATAAATTAACACAATTCTTTCATCCCAAAAATGTGTGGGATACATTGTCTCTATTATTTCTTAGTCGTGGGCGAATGTTAGCCCAAATAGCTCTAGTTATTTGGGCTCATATTGTTATAACGGGACCAGTGCAAGGTAAGACATTTATGGGTATAAATTATTTGTATAGAATCATACGGCAGATTAATATAACTATGTAACACATCTACTTTGAATCCATAATACACCAATGGTATTAAAAAAAAAACAAATAAAACAGGTTTGTCCAGTTTTGTATTTGTAATAAGATGAATGCTTGTTTTTATATTTAATTTTATACAATAACTTGCTTTTCGCTAATGGCTTTGCCCGTGTGATGCTTAGGGAACTGTTTATTTGGATATGGATTCATATCAAGACACGTATATAATAACAATGACCAATTGAATTAGTAAACAATCGTAACTATGCTAACGTTTTAATTCCCTATACAAACTTCTACTTCCGTTTTATTTGCTGTTTTTTCTGGATAAAATATAGCCCATGTTCATCGCATATGATTTAATTTACCGTAGGTGAAAGAATGTAAATCGTTAAACGATATCTAATTAAATATTTGCCCTAAAAAGTGAATTTTCAACCCTGTCATATACGTAATAGTAAATTGTACACCATAATTTTGAGGATGGACTTCCATAAAAACTTTCATCTTCATGGGATTTAAACGGTTAAATCCCATTCAACCCTATTTTCTATTAAAAATGGTAACTTATACCCTTTCTAAAGGGTCTCTATGTATATTCCAAACATTAAAATTGTGGCGATTTGGTGTCTTACATATGAAAGCATGACAGACAGACAGAATTTCTATCGCATTTATAATATTACACTCACATTGTAAGACAAATGGTTCTAAATACGGTTTAATTGATACATGTATATTTTTCAGGCGAAGGAACATTACTTTATCTATATACATTGAACAGATACAACATGGACATTGTGGATCTAAGTTTATTCTCTACTTATTCTACACTCGTAGGAATTGCAGGTAAGACCCATTTTCGAATTAGGAACTTAATAAAATTTAAATTTTGGTTAGAATTAAGATTTCAATCCAAATTCTGACATCGCCACTGTGACAAGCATATTTCGGTAAAATTTAATAGTTTTATAAACTATCAGCATAAAAAGGAGACCTTTCTGTCTCTCATTGTCACTTATCAGCCTAGGCTACATTATGATTAATGGTGAATTTAATATATAGTCCACCACTATTTCAAATTCAAACTCAATATCATTTAATTATTCTAGGTTGTTATATGCACTTGTGAAAGTCGAAAGCTATGCCTCCAAATAGTGTTTATATTGGATATTGGTAATAACTTGGGTTGGGTTCACAAATGAGAGTTCCACACACCCCCTGTCGCTTGCCAGGCGGCAGGGGGAGCGCCTAATGCATTTCCTCGGCGCAAAAAAAAAGCGATAATAACTTAGTCTCTATATATATTTTGACCGACGATCAGTCAGTGTATGTGCATGCTGGTTTTATATTATTACATGAAATAAAATTATTAACTGTTAGCTTTCATCCAACACAGGACATAACGCGCTACGTTTGCGTTGCACTCAAGCAATGCTATTTTATTAACAAGGTTAAGCGTCAGAGTAAATTTACGCTAAAATTTCAATTTTAGTATTAGTACAAATTTATATTATACGGAAAATAAGCAAAACCACTACCTTCTAGGATTAAATATTACTCATGTAGAGCCACGCACTAGATAAAACTTTACTAAATCTACGTTTAATAATATAGATTTTGACTAATACTAAGTGCAAGTTTACTCCAACGCTAAAACTTGTACATGAATAGCTTTGAAGATGTCTAACCTATGAATATTTTTTTATTAATTGATTTGTATTATGGTGCCAGCCAATAATACAAATTATTGGTTTTAGGACTATGCAAATAATGCTTTGACAATCTTTAGAATAGGATAGTACAGTAGACAACACGTCAGGTTACTACGTTGTTGATAGTAGAGTTTATTGCAGAAATTTGGTTTTATGCTTTAACCTGATATGCTGCTATATGCACAAAGGCTGAGAACGTCGCTAAAAGAAAACTCAATTATTTGTAACTGGGGTGCTATGGTACACGATGAATTCATTTTTTTTCTTCAAATATTTATCCATGAAATATAACTTCTTTCAAAAATATTAAATTTATTTTGTAATAATCTATATTTATTCTAAATCTATCATTATTGAAAATTATTGAATAGGTAATATTTTTTAATAATTCGGATAAATGCTAATTCATATGCTGACCCTTCTACCTGGCAAGTGACAGAGGGTGTCTTGGATTCATTTCCATTCTCGGAAGGCTATCCACTTTACAGTATATCCTTTTCTAGGGACAAGGTGGAAACAGCAAAGCCGACTTACCACGATTAGAATAAGTAACTTATCTCGAATGTCATTCAATTGGAATCGCAAAATTCTATGATCCTACGCCTTATTTAACTCTAGTTATTAGTTTAATGAGTATAAGATTTTAGCTACTAAATGCCAATATTATCCAATTTAAAGAATCATCACATCACATCATCACCAGCCCTTTTACGTCCCCTCTGCAGGGGCTCAGGCCTTCCTTATGGATGGTTAAGGAGGATGGGCCATGACCCTCCACGCTGGCCCAATGCGGATTGGAGGGTATTAATGACTGCAAATGCAGCCGGGACCAACGGCTTAACGTGCCTTCCGAAGCACGGAGTAGCTCGAAATAATAATTTTTTGGTCACCCATCCCGTGACCGACACACAAAAAATATTGTTTTGTGCGAAAGTTGCTTAACGACTATGATCGCGGGCCACGGCGCTTATCCACTACGCCACCGAGCTACTATCCACTACGCCACCGAGCTACTAATTTAAAGAATAACATAAATAATTTATCTGTTTAAAGGAACTGCTATTGCTGTAACGGTGTTCAGTAAATGGCTGTCAATGCACGACAGCATATTGGGTATAATAGCAACAACGAGTAAAGTATTATCTTCACTTATATACGGATTGGCACCGACCAGGGATTGGTTCTTCGTCGGCCCTGTGTTTGATATCTTCGGTAATTCTGGAGTTACCGCTATCAGGTCTTTGGGAACGAAAATAGTCGATGCAGATAATGTCGGTAAGTCGCAACATTGATGTTTCTTTTTAAAAATTTACGCCACAATTTCATTTCATGTTCTTTGTTATAGATCAAAACGTCTTTATCTTATTGATATGATAATTATATTTATATATTTTTAATTTCAAATTTGTTAGTAGCCTTTACTTGTATATAATTTAGAATTACTTTAAATGTTTAACCACTTTTACTTAGTTCAAAAAGTACCTATATATATAATATAAATATAAAAAAATATATATACATTTATTGTTAGTAACAATTTAAGTGAATAATAACAATTAATTCTAAAGAAATTAATTATAATATTAACAAATTCCATTCTATACACTACAGAACATACAGTTCAAGGTTGAATAGGAATTTTGGCCTTTTTTTATCATTTGTTGATGTCAGTATGATTGCGAGGATGGCATATGCGGATGTGGGCGTCGGAATTTACGTGGATCATGAACGTTCACAGATGAAGTATTTTTTTCTGTAATGATCACATACATAGATCGCAAAATTATTTTCCATATCTAATGCTTAACATAAGTGTACGAATCTGTTTATAAGCTTTTATTATATATCTAAATATATACATATAACTCAAAGTTGACTCAAAGACTGACTGACATAATGATTTATCAACGCACAGCCTAAACCACTGGACGGATCGGGCTGAAATTTGGCATACAGGAAGATGTTATGACGTAGGCATCTGCTAAGAAAAGATTTTGATCCATTACATCCCCAAGGAAATAAAACAGGGGATGAAATTCTGTAAAAATCTTTGTCAATTTTAAACCGATCCGGCTGAGACTTTGCATCATAAAGCTACTATGACGTAGGCATCCCCTAAGAAAGAATTTTGATAAATACCACCCCTAAGGGGATAAAATAGGGGATGAACCTTTAATTCAGGTATTAACAGGATATAATTAATAAATGTTCGTTAGAAATGCTGCTCAAAGTGACTTTACCACGCGGCCGAAGTCGCAGGCAAAACCTGGTCTATAATAAACGAAAAACTAAGTAAACATATTTATTTGTTTCCTTTGCATTTATTATAAGACATATCAAAACTGGAAAACATATATTGCGTAGTACAGTGCAGTATTATACATATTAAGAGATCCCAGCGTACAGACAGCAGGAAGCGACTTCGTTTAATACACAATTTTTATATATTATCTCGATATAGTAACATGTATACCCCTGGGGAGGCCAGGGGCGTTCATAGTGTAGAAAAGAAAAAGTGTTAACGGGTCAAAAAGTACCTATATGTAAAGTCAATTCTGCTTTACTTTTGAAACAAAACAATCTCAAAAAACTTATTTTAATTTGAGGTTGATTTCAGATTTTGTAGTCGCACATAATCAACGAATTATATAATTGTTGTAATAATATACTAAACTTCTGTTATGTTGGTTATTTACAGAGCGCTTAGTGTAAGTTTTTTTGACGTTTACGTTCACTGTCGATCGTGAGTGCGTTAAGATTTTAGTATGGTATCCGGTACAGCGCCCCTAGCGGTAACTACCAAGAACTACAAATCTCCATACAAATTCTTAACGCGCTCACTAGTGAACGCGTTAGCGTAAAACTTACACTTACCACTCTGAACAAAAAATAATGAAAACACATTCTAAATGCTTAAATTCGATTAAATCGTAGCTTTATATAAAATTGTTAAAGCCCAGATAAAATCAGAACTTTTTATCCTGCTACTAAAATTCCTTTGGGATCCATCTATAGCAGCCACCTACAACTCTACCGTAATGTTTAATAAATTGTTTGTGCCTTAGTAAACGTTAGAATCGCTATCTTTGGAAGATACAAAATATCTATTTCGTCCTATTCAGCCTATTAATGTACAGGCATTAGAAAAACATACAGGTAATGAGATTCATAAACCACCTAGTCTGTGCTTTGTTGGTGCTAATGACTGCAGAATCTAACGCATCATTTGGTCATTAGTCACCACCATGCCAAACGATTGGAGATTGTTGATCTCGATCCAGGATAGCGATAGTGGATTATGCTGCTGTATTGCTAAGCAAAAAATGACACTCTTAATTTATAAGAGTTATAAAATGATTGGAGGAAAATAACATATTATAGAATATCATACCCAATATGGACTACTAAAAATTCCTTTCTAAGAAGTTTAATAAACCGAGCGAATAAGCAGATTGCAGATTTACTAGAACGATTTAAGAAGGAATTTCAGTATCCCCTATTCCATAATATGTAATAGTATCCATATACAATAACATGTTTAGTCAATTCTGTACGGATAAATAAAAATCGAACTTGGGCAGAATTATCTAAATCTTCAGGGCATTTAAGCTCAGCTAAAATAATATAATTACATTTGAAACTCTTTATAGTTAGGTTTTTGTGGAAACAGTGGACCTACATATATGCACGTCGGTTACCATAATATATTAAATTTATTTTAAAGTCTTCCTAGAAACGTTAAGGTTAAAAATCAAGTAAAGAAATTTGACAAATTTGTATAACCTAACGTGCTGTTGACTGTACATAGATTTTTTTTATTATTGTTTAAAATAATAAGTGCTTTTCGTTTTCAGGCAAGATGTGCTCATTGATTGGATTCATGGATGCGATCGTTCCAGCGATATACATTCCGATATATAGTAAAATATTTTCGCACACTTTAACAACATTTCCTGGTGCAATATATATAGTTGGAACAGTGATGACTTTACCAGATTACATTATATTTATGTAAGTTTTGATAAGTATTGTACAAACTTTCTGATCAGAATTTAAAGTGTACATGTGGCCTATTGCTATGTATGATATGTGATTTTAATTGTTTGACTATTTCTTTAAGTAATGGGAATTCTTTTATCCCAATTATATAAGACAAAGCTTTAAATATTACACATTACATGAAATCTTAACACAAATAAAATGTTGAATTTAGTACCTTAAATAGATAAAGATTGAAAGTTTGTCGCCCACATAACAGTTATGCACCTGAGTTGGCACATTTCAACAAAGGCATTTGTTATTATGATAAGACTCTTAGGTTTCATATTTGATTACACCAAATGTCACTTTTCTCTGGTCGAAATTGAGATATCGTATGGGCGCACTCAAGAAAAGTGACATTGAGTTGTAGACAAAATCTTCTCGAGTTTGTGATGCTATGTTATGTGTATGATAAACTCGAGAAAAATTTTGACTTATACTAGGTTTGAACTTATACTCGTACAATATGAAATTCAACCTTTGATACTAAACCCACTATGATCCGCTAGTCTGCCGAGCGTACTAACATAGTTATGCTCGACGGATCTTCAGTAAAGTACGCACCGACTATTAGAGCTTTTGGCACAGAGTCATCTTCGAAGTTTTGTTCTTCAATAACCTACAAATATACTTTTTTACTGGGTCCTGTAATTTTATTAGATAAAGAAGTTACATAATAGCTATATGTATGTTTTTACGTATCTGTTGTCATTATTAAGATTAAGCCAAATCTTGCAGCACAATATTACTTTTTTCAGAGCGAGAAAGATCGCGTGTTGCATATCGCCTCGAGGATACCTCGGCTTGCTAACGCACACACACTATCTTTCTCGCTCTAGCAAATGGCATTTCTGTCGACATCCACCGATGTCGTTTCTGCGACAGAAAAGGACAGCGGTATAGACGATACCGAAACAGATAAAGAGTTCAACCCTAAATATCCTTGTATGTATTTAAATATACCCTTTTTGTTCCAGAATACTATACATATTTTACAAAAAACAGCAGAGAGACGTAGTCCAAAATCCAAGCACGAAAGAGATGCATGCATACGAAAACGACGTTACAGCTTTATAAATTTTATGTTCATATTTTTTTCTACTGAAAATTTTACTTTATGAACTGAAAAGCTAATTTATAAGTAGTGTTAATGTTTTATTATACTTGTAAGTCATATAAAATTATTTTAAGTATTATATTGTATCTTAAGATTCAAAAGAAGTTTTTTTTTATTGTTAATCGCCATGTGGTTATTAAAACTAATTTTACGATATTATGTATATATTTCTAATATAATATACCTTTCAAATCTTCTATAATTTCTCATGTAAGTATTAGCGTTAGCGTAATGCCTATTCATCATCATCAGCCCATTAATGTTGATCCCTACTAATGGAGCACAGGCATTCCCTAGGTATAGAATCGAATCAACTAAGCAGAGTGGGCCATGACTCACCACGCGGGTCCAGTATATATTGGAGGGTCCTTATGGGTGTTTACGGTTCCAAAGCACGGAGGAGTTCAAGTTCTTAATTTTTTGGTCATCCATCCTATGACCTTCCCTTGCGAAAATTTGCTGAACAATCATATCGCAGACCGAACACGCTAACCACTCCACTGCGTCATCGAACTCCTCTAATTATACCTAATTAATTGTCAGTATTTTTTCTATATAACTTGTTTGGTACTCAGGATTTCGGGGAGTTGTGGGCTTCTTTTTTGTGGGCTATTATTAGTCAACAGAAGTTGGAAAATATAATTAATTAAAAAATAATTGCCTTTGCGACACAAAATAACGCAAACTATCATCAACAATATGTATTCCACCTTAACAAAAACGCCTACAATATTTTCCCTCGCAAACAGTTCAACAACGTTGCTTTGAACAGTCGCACTTCTAACTTCATATGGTAATTGTATAAACTTACACAAAAATTCATAAGCTACCATGATATATGTAATTTGTAGGGAAAAATAAGAGAAAATATTCAATCCAGGACTCATTTGTAAGATGAAACGACCGGCCTTTGTTGCCAATTTCTAAGATAGAACTTGTTTGTTAGACGGTCGCATGTGACTTTTATAGCAGGCTTAGGGCAGTGACATTCTGAGTGACCTCAAGTATTAAAAGTAGTGGACGGAGAGAAACAATCTACGGACTCTAGTCGGTCAATTCGACATCTTCTACGTGGCTCTGTGAAAACAACCCAACCTATTTTTCATTTAAGGACATACAGTCTACAGCTCAAAAAATGTGTATAAACTTGGCTATCATTACTTGGCACATAGTATATTAGCTATATAGTAAAGTTGGCTGCGTTTTACTGATTCGTAATTGTAATCAACCCACAAAATACGAACTGTTATCGTTACTGCAAAGAAAATTCACTCTTTTTCTCATCTTTAAAACTTTTAACATTGGAAAGAAAGAAGATAACACCTTGCAGCTCAGAATATGCTTACTTTATAATAAGTGGCTTGGCTTGTAAGTCTCATAAAAATGGTGACTGAATAGTAGCTCATTTTCGGTTCTTAATTGAGTTGCGGAGGTAACCCGCTAACAATAACAACGCTGTAGCTATAGTCCATAACTGTGCGGAAAATCGCCAATTTTATTCAACTTA